AAAATAGAAGAATGAAAAGTTGGAAGGATGAACAGTTGAAGGGATAAATAAAATATCATGTTTGGTAACGAGGAAAATAGAAATGATGAAAAAGTTGATGGATTAACTTTCCTTCCAACTCGCCAAAATCAATTGCTCCAAAATCAAAAGAAAAGTGAATGAAAAGTCAATTATTTGTGTTGAGATGAATTTTATTTATCTATATATTATGTATACATTAATTTCATATAAAAATACACGACTCGAACACGATGACACGATTCAAGCTCGACACGAACTTGATTATAACTCGACATGAACTTGAAAATGAACTGACACTCAAATAAAAAATATAAAAGACTCATAATTTTATGACTCAACATGAATCTGACACGACACGACTCGACTCGATTATCACCCCTAATATTAGACAAAAAAAAATTAATCATTTTTATTTTTCATCCATCCATCCAAACACAAAAAAGAAAGTGTATCATTTCTACTTTTCATCCTTTGAAAGGTAAAAAATGTATCCCTCCTATTTTCTATTCTTCCTATTTTTTATGCTTCCAATCAAACAAAGCATTTGAGGTTCTTCCACCCCTAATTACAAAACAAATGAATTGTTCTCTCATGAAACCAGTGACCGATACGGAAATCCGTAGAAGATGGACGCTCTTAAAGCTCCAGGTGCTGACAAAAAAAAACCAAAGCTTGGGATTGTGGGTACATGTGTGATCCCAAACACAAATTTGGCAATTATTCGACAACATACTTTTGAAGAAAAACACTTTTTTCAAGCCTGGTTTTCTCTGCTTCGGCAACCGGGTACCACTTTTTTCTTCCTCTTCTTCTTCTTCTTCTTCTTCTTTTTTTTTTTCTGTGGTTAAAAATAAATGAGTAATTAAAATGTTTAGTATATTTTAAGTGTGAATATGGGTGATTGGAATTTAAATTGTAAAATTCGCCATTAGCTTATAACCTTAAAAGATTTAGGGTATTGTTGTACTTTAATACTCAAAAACGTTCTATTTTATTAATCTAGACATATTGACGAGACTTATGAGAGTTTAATTTTCGTTCCTCTCCCTCTCAAGCCGCTTTTTCATTAAGTGCAAAAATCAATCTTGGAGTTTCATTTATTATAAATCCAAGAAAAATGAATATTAGGCTGGAATATGAAATCATTCAAGTTGTGGACCACATCTAGGACTGATAGTGTAACATGTTATATCGGATGATTAAGTCGTATAATGTATGTTTTATTAAAATTGGTCAAACTTGTACAATAAATTTTTAAGGGAATTTTGCTGGTTAACCCCATTACAGACTGAACCCAGTGACTTTGAATTTTCAAAGCTAATAACCTCGCACCAATTTCGTATTAGATAAACTAATTCTCTTATAAATTGTTGTATTCAGTTATGTTCATGTTATAATTCAAATCGTGTTATGCTAAAATTAAAGTAATTTGTACGCAATATATTTATTATGTAACTTTGACAAAACAATCTAATAATATTCCGTAATCAAATTCAGATTCGTACCGAATGAATAAAGTTGTCTTGGAAAAAAACTCCCAACTACATCTGTTCTGCAGCCGCCTGTTAGTATCACATGGACCACCCTTGTTGGGTGTAACGTATGGTCCCACATGCAAAATTGGGCAATCAATTCAACACTAAATTTGTGAACGAACAACCATATTTTTCATGGTTGTTTGATTGCTTTGTCAAGACATTGAATTATGAATGGTGTGTCCAGAGTCCATTGATGGTTCAACGTCATTGGCAAAGGTTCCGTAAGTTGATTCATTACATAGAAGTGGCCAGGGACAAACTAGGATAGTTGTAATGCCCAAAATTTCCAAGAGATCCAGTATCCATCAGTAGTCACACTCTGATTTAGATGCCCCGCTAGCTAGAGCCGATCTCAATTGCACTTAAAAATAGTGCATAACATACATGGTCTATCCAAGAGTTCAAGCCGCGTCATAATTTGTGATAGTGAAAGTTTGCATTTGTCTAGCCCTTGTTATAGTCGGCTGAAATTTATTTTTTGGCTCAAGCCCAGCTTACATATTAAAGTCGAATTGAATTTGGATTATGCACCCAAATTCAACCCCTACGAAGAAAAATGATTAAAGGCCTATGCCCTATGCTAAAATCCAAAGATAAATGTCTAGGAGGGCCCATCAGGGCAGTTTGAAAGGGAATATCGGTAACTATTGGGAGGAGACTATAACTAACTCTGATTTGCATCTGCCAGGTTCAATCTCACCTTAAATATACGACGCGTTAAAAGATTTTTCGAAAATATGGGGACACCACAGGCGTGTCTCAAAATTGGATACAACATAATTAATTGACACGAATTAAATAAATTTGAGTGAAATTTTAACAAATTTGAATATTAAACGGGTTAACCCGTCAATATATTTAATAAACAGGTCGTGTTTGAGTAAAATTTGTCAAACCGTTTATCACATGTTTACATATTTAAATAAAATTAATATAATAATAAATTAATAATTATTTTAAAAAATTAGCCAAAAAAAAAGTAAAAAAATTAATACAAAAAAAAAATAAAATAGTAGTTTAAAGTCAAGGAGGCAAGATGGAAGCAATTCATGAAAAAGGCAAATCAATCCCTTTTGTTTTTGTCCCACGTCGACAAATGAAAGGAGATGAGGAGGATTATCTTGCCTATAAAAGGTAGTAGTCTCTTGCTTTTATTTTTTTAGCCTTCAAATTTGATTTTTATGTAAAATTTGACAAAAAATTCCTCTTTTTTAAGGTAAATATAATTGACAGTAAAAAAAGTGGTGTATTAAAATTTTTTGATATAATTTTGTTTAAATTAAACGAGCTAAATGAATCGTGTCGTATTACCCGTTTATTAAACGGATCGTATTCGTATTGAGATTTTTTACCTATTTATTAAACTTGTCGTATACGGATTTACATATTTTTTATCCGTCACTCGTTTAACACAACACGTAATCGTTTAACCCGACACATTTGACACTCATAGTGTACATGTTTCAAGAATTTGATTTGAAATCGTTACGAATTTAATATATTTGGATGATAAATAAATAAAATTGTTAGACGTGTTAAATATACAACAAGACATAATTTATTTAATTAAACAAAACACGGAGATAGAGTTATGCACAATTTATATGTAATTTGAACACCATTATATAAAAAGAATTAACCAATGTACGAGGCTCCTGTTAAGGATGCAATTCAGGCGGGTTGGACAGTTAACCCTAACTCAACCATAGGTATATAATCTTTAACCTTAACTCTAACTCTACCTTAGGTTGAATTCAGGTTAATGATTTCAGGCTAATTTTTGGTTATTTTACTTATTCAATTCGGGTTGAGTTCGGGTAGAGCCCAAAATAAGCTTGTTATTCTAAACTTAATACATATATTACATAATATTCACCTAAATTAACAATCAATAACTTCAACCAAATTTTTTACAGTGCTAATACTATAACAAAAATGAAAATGAACGAGAGAGGCAGAGAACAATAGAATAAAAATGACAAATCAGTGCTATATATATATATATATATATATATATATATATATATATATATATATATATATATATATATATATATATATATATATATTTATTTATTTATTTATTTATTTGTCAAGTTCGGGTTGAACCCAATCCCAACCCAAATTAAATTCGGGTTGGAGTTTTTTGACTCAATCCCAACCCAAATATTAAAAACTTTTATCAAAGTCCTAATTTTTTCGAATTGAACTTGGTTTGAAATTAGGTTGTCCAATCCAAGTTGCACCCTTAACTCCTGTCATTGCGGGGTTTAAAGAGGGTTATATGTACCTACTCTTACCCATGTAAACAAAAATATTGTTTCCATTATATAATATTAAAAATAAATCAAGTATAAATTAAACAAATTTCAACACGACGCGATTTAGTGAAGAACCCCAAGGCACAATCAGCTTCCACTTCACCAACTTGAATATGATACCGAAAACAAAAATCGGTATAATACTTTCATTTATCACATTTGTGGTCGTTTTGATCATTTTTGTGAGTTATTTTACCACTGTTGTGGTACCCCAAAAAATGGTAATAACAGTTACCATAACAATAATAAAAACATCCACAAATGTCGTAGAAATATAAACAAATGTGATAAATTTTTTTTGTATCAAAGACGAGTGATAAAAATAGTTACTCACAATAATGATAAAAAAAATTCATAAAAGTGATAAATTATTCACAAAAATGTACATTTCTTAGTTATAAAATAACTTATAAAAATTATAAAAATTTCATTAAAATAATAAAAATTAGAATTACGATACCGAATTTATTTATTGAGACCGTAGTCAAGTCCAGACCTCACAAAGGGGATCGGCAACCTTGACGAATGCAATAAAGGCCTCGTCCTTTCTCCAAAATTTCCTGACAATTATAACAAAGTCGTTTCTATATTGATCCCTTTGCAACTCCAAATTCGTGTCAGCTACATGTCATTCTTTCAAGTGCTGTCTTTTCTGGATGGATTTTATACTTCAAAATCCAAACAGTCACACCAAAACAACAACTACAACAAAAGCCAAGTGTTGTACTTGGAGACCACCGACACACAGACACACACAATGGTATGTAAATGGACTTTAGGCTTCTTACATGTGCACGTACACATACACAACAACACAAATAGAAAGAAAAACCAACAAAAATGAGTTTTTTCTTCGAGTTTACACACCCACATACCACACAATTAGACAGAGATTTCTTTAAACTTGAGTTCCCTACACAACCATACACAAAAAAAAAAAGACTTTCTACTTGAGCATCTACATTTCTAAACACAGACCTGGACACACTCCCACACACGCCACCACAACACAGCCACACCTCTCACATAAACACGCGTAAACAAGAGAAAGCTACGGGTGTTCAATCTTTAAATACAAGCATTATAACTCTCCCTTAAGAAACACAAAACCTATTGAGAAAGAAAGAGGAAGAAAATAGAGTTTTTGAGAGATGACAGATAAGGTAATGAGCACAGGCAAAGAAGGTGTCAAATGCAATGGCAAAGGCGAGATGAACCCATATGAAGGAGAGTTCGGAGCCGAGGCATGGCCGGGTTTCAAAAAGAAGGCCGGTAGCGTGATTACAGCACAGAAGAAGCTGGTGAAGACGATGATGGCCGAGTACATAATTGAATCTATTGATTCTGCTATCGACAAAGTCAAGAACAAGAAGAAGATCAAGCCTGACGATCATGGGTCTGCTTAATCCAGTACCCTTTATATATGGTTATATACTCTGAAACGTGTTGTTGAACTTGGACTTAATTAAGTACCAATCGGAGGTGGTGAATTTTTTCTGTTTACTCATTAGTTTTTTTATGGTTGATGAATGAAGTCTGCTAATTATTCAGAATGATTTTTACTTGAATAACTCTTACAGAAAGCATTTATAGCACAAAACAAAGCAGATTGATTTTGTTCAAACCTCCACTTAGAGTTTCGCAGTCAGTGCCAGGCTCAACCCAAGCCAGATTTACACAATTCAGCAAACACCTTATACTCAACATTTCAAAACAACACATAATCTTATATATGCATATATTCACCTCAGCTGTGAGGTACCATCGACGTCCATGGTGAATAGGAGGTCGCTTTTCTAAAATATGTAAACTAGTTTGGTAGATCTCAACTTGCCTCTGTCTTCTGATAAAAAAAAAAAATTCCCTCTGTCTGCCTTGGTTGAGCCTGGGAATGCAGTGACATAGAACCTAGAGGATCAAAGCGAAGCGAAATGGGTACAGTATGTGGATGATGCTACAGAGGGTTTGATGGGTGTGATATGTGTGTGTATTGAGAGGGAAGGGGAGGGAGAGAGAACTGTGTGTGAGGCCCTATTGAACGCATGGAAGGAGGCAATGGAGAGTGGCTGGGTGGATTTAATTTGGTATTTTGGAGCTGGATGAGTTCCGGTTTTGGCTTAAACCCAAATATCTGACATCTCAAACCAAGTATTATCCCAATTTAAATTGGATTGTAATTTTTGTACCCATGTCCAAACCTGAGTCCTATAAATTTCTTTAAGTATTGAAAATATTGGATTGGTTTCAAATTAACAGGCATAAGTTGTACTTGTTCCTCGATTTGGGGCCGGTCCTGCTAATTTCTGCCAAGCCCGTCATGTAAAGGTTTTTGGGTCGGGCTGGGAGTTACTGGTGCTAAACAAAGCTCAATTTTTTGGCACATGACTTGCGGTATCAAATAAGTCATGATGCAGCAACCTACGGCTATTTTCTACATTTAAATAAAGGATTTTTTGAAAATTGGTACACCTTATTATATTTATTTGGTAAAAAGTACATAGAACAAAATATAAGTTAAAAAGACATAAATACTAATTTTAGGGTCATTTAATTCAAAATCTCTTATATATATATATTGTTAAATCTCTTATTTAAATTTTGAATTATCTTTAATGCACCTTGATTCATGCGTAATTTTTTTTAAAAGTGATTTTGTTTTCAAATTATATTTAATGCACCTTGATTTAAATTTTTTTTTTTTTTGAAAAATAGTTTTATTTTTAAATTAATTTAATACCGAAATAATGTGATAGTATAACAAAGACAGTGTAACAAATACATTGTAACAAAAACAGTGTTTAGTAGTTTTATGTATATGATAACAAATTCAAAACGGAGATAGACTACTTTGATTGAAATTATATGAAACTATATGTTTGACAAAATGTAATAGTACAATATTTTGTGTAAATAACTTGTTACACTATTATTGTTTATACTGTTACATTGTTAGTGTTACACTTTTATTGTTATACTGTTATACTATTCGGATATTAAATTAATTTGAAAATAAAACCACTTTCTAAAAAAAAAAATACATGAATCAAGGTGCGTTAAAAGATAATTCAAATTTAGATAAGAGATTTAACAACAAGTATATACGTACTTACATACATAAGTATATATATATATATATATATATATATATATATATATATATTAAAGTTCTCTCATAAAACTAGGAGATGTTTAATGCACCACTTTCTGAAAAAAAAGTGGTGCATTAAATACACATGGATTAATGGAGGGCAAAAATATCACAATAAAAATAGATAAATTCAAATTATGTACTTGGATACAAATAAGTATCAAAATTAAATACTTAATAACCTTATATTTTTTAGTGTATATTTTTTGTCAAATAAGTCTAATATGGTGTACGCCTTAAATAAATAGTAAAGTTATTTGAATTATAACTAACAAATTAAAAATTGGGCAGGTACGTCGGTGATCTTAGTCGGCCTCTTGCATGGGTGGGGTTGGGGCTAGCACTATGGCCCACTTGTGGTACTGTGGGCTTATCGCAGTGGGCCAGGATGGGTTGTGAAATTTTTGTTTGCTTCGATCTAACCAACCTAAAAGGGTACTAAAACGATAGTGGGGGATTAGTATAGAGAATCAGTTAAGCTGAGCTTTTTAAATCCGTGCAGCAATGATTTCCCCTTTGGAGTGCTTTTATTTCACAGAAATACTCTGCTTCTCAAATTTATAATCCAAACTTACATCCCAAATTAACAAGGATGGTAGAATTAGTGGGTCTTGTAAAAAAAGTTATTAAGACCCATTGATCTAATTATCTTTATTGATTCGGAATATAAATTTAAATTGTATAACATTGCTCATTATTTTATGACCAAATTTGGTGCTTCAAAATTTTTAAGACAACCCTTTGATCAAGTCTGTTTCTCCTTGCTTTGTCAAGAAATTGAACTGACTTATAAAAGGTATCTCTAGAGGATCCATTTATAATGGCTATGGCCTTAAAAAAGTGTGGATATTTTTCTTCTTACACTCAAAACACGCGCTAAAATTTTGCTACAAGGTGCATGCATCAATCTTGTAGACAACCGCGGACCCAAGACTAGATCTCAACCCGACCATTACTGACCCCAAATTCGACATCAAACTCAAAACTGGACACAAACTTAATCCTAAATCCGATCCTGGACACAAACCCAAACCCGGGCTCAGCCCTTAAATTGGGTCTAAAAAAGTTTAAGATTCGCGAATCAAACTTGCAAATAACCGGGACCAGCCTAATATAGCTACATTAGTGTCCTACAGCCTGTCATCTGACACGTGCTCTTTGTGCTTCTACAAATACTTCCCCCACAAGTTTCTCTCTCATTGGTTCTCTGCTGATTTATTTAAAGTGAAATTTATTATTTACGCCACTTAAATTAGTAATATTATTTGAATTTAAAAATTTAATCTAATTTGTTAATTTAATTATATGACTTCTATGAACCGTTGGATCAACACTAAATTTAATATTTGATGGGACCCTTAATCAATCTACGCAAATATTATTTGAATCTAATTCATTGACTTAATATAACTATTATACTAAAAGTGGATTATAGTATTAATTGAGTTTCACTATCAATTCAATGATTGTGATATATTATTTAATAAATTATGTTGATAAATTAAGTCTAAACGGTCGATCCACTAAATTAAAATTTTTAGGATTTGGTTATTCTAGTTAGAATTTCATGGTCTAATTGAAGATTGACCCATTCTTGAAGGGTGTGGATTGTAAAGTGTCTTTATTTAAATCACACTGAACTCAAAATATTCCCTCATTCCATTTACCAACCAGACAGGAAGTATAGAGGAAAAAAATATAGAAACAGATAGAGTGAAGAAACAGAGGCCATAAAATGGTGGCCCAGGTTGTGAACTCCGGCGAGCCTACGACGGAGCCATGGTTCAAACCCAAGAAAGGAAGCGTAATTCCGGCAAAGAGAAGGTCGGTGAAGAAGATGATGTTGGACACCATAGTTCAATCTGTTGCTTGTCTATTTCGATCTTCTTCTTCTTCATGTTCCTCTGGAATACCACTGTCTGAAAACTGTGGCAGTTCTAATATGATTTCACCAGACACAGCATCAAAGGCAAAGACAGATGAGAACAAGAAGACAATGATGAAGAAGAAGAAGGAGAAGAAACCCAGTCACAAGGGTGTCTTTCCACAGCATATTTAACTTGCAATTGTAATTTTTGCTGCCCACTTTAATGTAGATTATCTGCCAATGTACTCTTTCCTTTTCTTTTTTTCTTTTCCTGATTTCCGGGTATTTTTTGTTCTTTAATTTATTCCTGTTTTGTATGTTTGCAATCTCAAAGAAAATAATAAATCTGTATTGAGTTAAGCAGAACAGAGGGTTGAATCTTCTTTCCACTAGCTTTTTGGCTTATCTATTGGTTCATTAAACTAAGCAAAACATAAATTTAATATGCTAGTTACAGTTGTTATTGGAATTGGATCAAAGTTGATAAAAACATTTAAATAAAAAACCAAACTCAACGAGCCTTGATTTATTTTTTGGTGGGCGGGGGAAGGGGGCACTTGTATTTGATTGCGACATAAAGTACCATCAGACCTAATCGTATAGATCAGATCATGTGGACTGATTTTCTTTTTTTTAATCTTGGGGATTTGATTTCATGATGAAGAGGAAGGAGAGTCTTTTGGTGCCTATTCGAAAATTCCCTACTCTAGGGGGATTTGATCCGCTATAAAGAGAAGACAGTGTCCAGGTAATTTAACTAAATAATTTTTTTTAACTTTGATTAACTTTAAATTCATATTTAAATATTTGAGTTTGAGGGACAATAATTGCCTTTTAATACTTCATTTCACATGACATACAACGGCAATGACATTGGACAATTTTTTTTTTTATTGGGTATTTAAGTTTATATCGATTATTCCCTTGAGTTCAAGACTGATCACCGTGAATTGAATTATGTCAAGACATGTCTCTAAAAGAATAAAAATGACTTATACTTAAAAAGTGTGAAAAAAAATTCAACCTGCTACATATAAAGATCACTCTCCACCATTGAACCACCCACCAAATTTATATCATTTGGCAATTAATGCACTCAACAAATTGCAAATCAGAAGCATTTTGATAACATTCATATATTGTCAAAACTCGGTTGACTTTCTATTCCACTAGCACTTGTTAATACTTCTTTTCTGCGTAATCACCTACGTCATCCCTTTTTGTCACGTGCCGGATTCACAATTTTTATTTCTTAGGGCCTACGGTAGGAGAAAATATTCAATGGTGGCATCATCATGCGACAATAATGTTATCTGATGTTATTGTCTAATACTAAATTAATATATAGACAAATGAACCCCAATTAATTTAGTAACTATCATAATTAGGCAAGAAAATAATTAGTACACGTAAAAAAAGTAAAATTCACTTACTCACTTAGAAGTTTACTATTAAAAGATCATATCAGGCAAGAGTAATAATGTGGTGTTATTATTACATTGAATACTTCTCGTATGGATAATAAACCTTTTCACATCCCAAAAAGGAGGTCATGGGTTCAAACCTTGTATGAGGATAATTTTACTAGTTTAATAAGAGCATAAATTATGTTTTACCACCTTGAACGATTATATGTATTTTATTTTACACTTTCGATTATAAAATTTTTCATATTGTACCATAAAATATTAATCTTATTTTATATTACTCCAATAAATAACGACTATCAATTTTTTTACAATAAATATGTATGTGAATGGTCTATACTGCTAATAAACAACTATCTATTATATATGTGTATGTCAAAAATCAAAAAAATACCCACTAATAATTTTGTCCTTCCTAAACTCTAAATTTTTATTTTCTGACTGACTTTCTTTTTCTTCCTTGTAACCATTTGGTTGCAAAAGAGGTAAAATAAAATAGTACTAGGCACTTGGCTGAATGCTCTTTGGGGTTTTCCATCCTCCTATGATAAATTTTCAAGTTTATCATTATATATTAGAGTGATAAGAAATAAAATTGATACTTTAAGGTATAATGTGAGAAATTTATAGTTAAAAGTACAAAATAAAACAAAAATAATAGTTTAAAGGAATAAAGTGCAATTTACTCTTAATAATACTAGTTACACCTAATATATATAGTTAATGTATTACTCTTAATTGATTGATAGTACATCCTTTTCAATACTAAGATCCAACTCTGGTGTAAGAAAAGAGTAGGGAGTCACTGTGTGAAAGCTTTGGGTACAACGCACTGGGTGATGCAATTTGCTTGACGTCTTAGAGTGGCCTACCAGACGAGTCATTATCTCTTGCATAAAAACAGATAAATAAAGCATGCTTAAATGGTGTCCTTGAAACTTTGTCAGATATGCTTATTTTAATTTGATATATCAACATAATTCTCTCTCGAAGGTTTGGGTGAAATTAATGTTATACAATCTTATCTGTATTCTGAACAAGTTGATTTCTAGACATTACGAAGATATAAGAAAGATGGCCTTTTTTGTATTAGTGGCAGACACAGAAGTCTAGGGTTCCTATTGAAAAGTGTATTGATGATGTGGTAATTGACTGTCGATATGATGAAAGTGACACTTATTTTTAACCATATTTTAAACACTGAAAAAGAAATTAAAAAACTAAACAGGGAACTAGATTTCCTAAGTAGTCAATTTATAGATCTTAATAAACTTAAAAATAATCTAAATCTGATTCAGATCGAGGAATAAAAATAATTGAAGAACTAAGAATAAAAACTATTGGAATAAAAAAGATAGTTGAAACTCGAGAAATTGTTCCAGATCACCCTAAACCTACAAAAATACGGACAGAAGAACTTGCAAAATAAATATTTCAAGTTCAAAATGATTTAAAACCTTTAATCGAAAGATTATATAAACAAATATGAAATTCAAAGGAGTCAATAAAAATAGTGACTTCTATAGATTCTAAAAGTTTAAGCGAATATAAAATACCCACCAAAAGAGCGTCTAACAATGCTATTTTACATATCAATCAGGCAAATTGGTTGATAACCGCAGTTGTTGAAGGCAATATCCTTATCTAAAATTGAAGAAATAAAAACAAAATTAGAAAAAGAAATACAATTTGTCAAAAATTCTTTCAAAGGAAAAGAACAGGAAAATCATATAGATACGAAGGAATTGTCTAAAAGGGTTAGTCAATAAATAATAATAATCCCCGAAAAATTTCTGAAAAATAGGGTAGGTTTTACAAAACCTACGGAGTTATTAGATATGAAGGAATGTACTTTATTTATTTATTTTTTTTCTGGTTTCCGGGTAGATTGTGTTCTTTAATTTATTCCTCTTTTGTATGTTTGCACTTTGCAATCTCAAAGAAATAATAAATCTGTATTGAGTTAAGCAGAACAGAGGGTTGAATCTTCTTTCCTCTTAACTTTTTGCCTTATCATTAAACTCGGAGGAAAACATAATTTAAAATGCCAGTTAATTTGCAATCACATTAGCAAATTTTACAAAAGTTGCTGTTTTTTTGACAAAGGGTCTTTGGATCTTAAAGAAACTCCGGGGGTACTGTTTATTGTAAGCTTTGTGAAATAGCACTAAGATCAAATTGTTGATAAAACTATTTTAATAAAAAGTCAAACTCGACCAGTCTTTCAAACATTAAAATTTTGTGTTTCTTTGATTGGGAAGTTCTTGAAGGCCAAGTATCTCTGTTTTGTTCACCCGAAAATGGAGACTTCATTTTCCGGGAATCTGAATCAGAGAAAGAAAATCAATTCTGGGGAGTACCCAGAAACGGAGTTTTTAAAAGCATTTGCTGAAATGGCGAGAAGGGTTTGGTTGGATTTGCGATCTGAAACTCCTCTATCACAGGTGAGGAGGCTACCTTCTGAAACTCCAAAAATTTGGTCAGTCTTTAGTTGCAGAGCTACATTTATCTCACAAATTAATTCCTTTTAATTTTCTCTCAAAAATGAACATCAATGAAAATGCAAAATTATTCAGTTTCAAATTTTCGGTACATTTCACGAATTCATTAAGACATAATTTAAAATACAAATAACACTTGGTGTGCAAAACAGAGAATGATTTTGGGAGGGTTATGGGAAAGACAGAAAAGGGTTTGAGAGATGAGATTTTGAAGAGAGGGTAGGGTTTGTCGACGGGTGGTGATAGAGATGAGGGATTGGTAGAGATGAGAGTTTGGTGGCGATAGCGATGACCATGGTTGCTGTTGGGTTGTGAGGAACACAGATACAGGGTTTTGTGAACGATGTTGGGTCTGATCTGGGAGGATCAAAAACGGTGTCGTTTTTGGTGTAAGATTTTCAAAAAAAAAAAAATCTAAAATGCTGTAAAACAGTGACGTTTTATTAAACCGCATGTTATGCGGTAACTCTCCAACCGCAGAGGAGCCGGACCCACAAGGCACTGGGTGGGTGCGATTTGCTTGACGTGTTACAGTGGCCTACCAGAGGAGTCTCTCTCTTGCATAAAAAGAGATAAAGCATGCTTAAATGGTCTCTTACAAACTTGGTCATATGTGCTTGCTTTAATTTGATACTTCAACACTTAAAAGAGCAGGGATTCATTCCCCTTTTCTGAGACAAACATATAATTCTCTCTCGTCTATAGAAGGTTTGGGTAAAATTAACGGTAGACAACCTTATCTATATTTTGAAGAAGTTGATTTCTAGTCTATAGCGGCGGCGCCACCCTTGGGTTAGGGTGGACACATGTCCCCTCAATTTTTTTTTTCTTTCATATTAAAAATGTATTTTTTGAAATAAAATTTAGATATATTTAATTGTTCTTATCCTATTATTATGTTCTGGTGATATCGATTTGAATAGATCTCTACCTAAATGATTTTTAATTTTTTGAAAAATGTTATTGAGACCGAATTTAAAAACTTAATGTATTGTGATATTATGTCTAATAATAAGTCTCAATATTTAATAAACTCTACTATCCATCCAATAGCCACAAATCATTGAATTTTTATCAATTAAATTTCAAATTAAGTGCAATTAATATTATTATTAACTTTTAAACACGTTTCAAATGTCTGAATATGTGTTTAAACATATTGAGATTATTTTATAATTTTTTAATTTGTAGAGTTATTTCATTATTATATAAAAATATATGTCGTTATGTTGAAAATTATAGGATCATAAATAAAAAATTGTTACCATAATTTTATATATAAAAGAAATATTATTGACAAAATAGATTTGTAATAACTCTTTCAAATAATAAAAACATACCAGAGTCAATTGTAAATGACAATAATTAGTCTTATTCTTAATAAAAAAAATTAATTTTATTTTGTTCGTGTTATGCGTATCGATTTTTAATCTTCTATATTATTTACGGAACTTTTAAGTGTTAAATATAATTTTAATAAATATGAATTTATAAATTATTGTGATTAATTAAAAAAATAAAATTTAATAAATGTCCTCACTCTAACTTTTTCCTGACTCCGTCCTGTTTAAGGAGATACAAGAAATAAAACCTCCTTGCAGACCAAGGTAACACATGGTAAAAATTGAAGACTACTATGTTGACGATACGGTAACTGATTGCGGACATGGTGGAAGTGACACGTAGACCAGATTTACTTGCTAAATGTTATCACCTTAAAGTCTTTCTTAATGAAATCTACCATCTATAATTGGTGAAAGAAAATCACCCGCGTCAAACCTTATTATTTTAGTTAGTTTGCTGGTTAAGAAGTAAGACAAATTATACTTTGACCCTCTTAAATATAAACTTAATTTTATTTTGCCTCCTGAACTAATTAATATTTTGCATTTTCGCCACAACTACTTGAATTGATATTCACACTACTTCAAATGCAAACGTTTGCTATCTTTTGGACAAGAAATGTCAATGCGAAGGAAGAAAGTGAAACAAAATCATATAATTTGAGGAACAAAATGATGCCTTTTTCGTTTCTTTCAAATTTGTAATGGATGTCAATCATTGAGACAAATATGAAACTAGTAATTTGAAAAAACGTGATAAATTGAGGAGATAGTGTAAGAATAAGACCACAATTAATGAGGTTAAAGTGTAATTTACCTTAAAAAATATTCACTTTTGTTTAGAGTATGTGACTAATTTTTCTATGTATATACGGATGTCTACCGAGATAAATCCCTGGATAGTCCTAAGTAAACTCGAACTCAAGAAATTAATGAAGTGGGTTTTGATCACCAGTTTGATTTACGCTAAGTAAAACCCACTAGTTTGGCAACAGGGGGCAACCATAACAAACATTACACAAAAAAAAATAAAAAATGGGATTATTTGTGGACAGTAAATTATAAAATTAATAAAATAAGTATATTTTGGGGCATTGGGCATTGGTAGATATTACAAGATCAGTAATGCTACATTGACACCTGTCCTCTTGACACGTGCCAATGTTTCTGTAGCAATATTTGCCTCGCAAGCTTCTCTCTCATTGGTTCTCCACCACCTTTTTCTAATTCGGTGAACTTAAAATGTTCCCTCCCTCGCTTTAACTATCATAAAGCCATTGCTGAACTGAAGAAAAACAGAGTGAAGAAACAGAGGCCAGAGATGGTGGTGAACTCCGGTGAGCCTACGACGGAGCCATGGTTCAAACCCAAGAAAGGAAGCGTAATTCCGGCGAAGAGAAGGTCTGTGAAGAAGATGATGTTCGACTCCATGGTTCAATCTGTTGCTTCTCTGTTTCAATCTTTCTCTTTTTGTTTCTGTGGCAGCTCTGATATGAAACAGAGCAACAAATGAAAAGATCGATAACGGGAAGAAAAAGAAGAAGAAGAAGAACAACAACAACTAGATCAAGTGTGTCTTTCCATACGCATAGGGTTCCGTTTGTAATTACCAATTGAATTCTGTCTTCTACCACATATTTTTTCATTTAGATTGTCTGAAAATGTACTTTTTTGGGGGCTGATTTATGACGTATTTTGTATTCTTTAATTGATTCCCTTTTACACTTGATTCCCCTCAATTATTCCATCAATCTCGCTTTATCCCCAATAGTCTACTACTTAATTTGATTCCACATAAACCAAAAAAAAATTAAAAATGTCCAAATTTGTAGCGAAACTAAAAGTCAAAGGTGGATGTGAAATTTGAGAAACATGATTTATGATTGTTGAGAGTGCAATACGAAACAAGTATCGTTGGAAAAGAAACATGAGAAGCATAATAGTTGAGAGAACAATGTGACAGAAGACTTGTAATTGAAGGGTCAGAGTGTAATTTACCCAACCTCCAGTATTGCTTCCCTTGGATATCTATTGAGCAGAACAGAGCTTCGGATCTTTCTTTCTTCTGACTTAATGCCTTTTCTTTTGGTACTTTCAACTTGAAAATTTACCTTTTCCATCATTTTTTTCCCAATTTGTAATTGTTGCTATGAAATAGGAAAAATTTACAAAAAATTGTAATCACCGTATCAAGTAATCATTTTGTAGCTTTTGTTTAACAAGTTGCTATAAGTTTTTGACGAGATCTTTAATGCTATAAGATAAGAGTATATAAGTCATATCCTTAGATTGTTTAAGTATGTTTGAGTTTGTTTGTGCCGGACCTCAGAGATTGTTGACTCGTGGTTAATGATGGGATATTTTGGAGAAGAGATAAGATACTGACACGTGTCCTCTATTCCGTAAACTTTCAAACACTTTGATGATGACACTTGTCATTGGCACCGAGGCACTTTCAGCCTTCTAGCCATGACAGATGTCCTCGGCACTGAAAACTCCCATGATCTCTGGAGTTGACACATGTGCTCGACATCCAGGACAACTCGCTATACCTACTGCCTTACCTATCAGTAATAATGAGTCCTCGAATGTATAAATAGTGACAAAAACCTGAAGATAAGGGTACACAATTATTTTTTAGGAACACCAAAATAGTACTTTCTTCTTTTTCTTTCTCAAAGAACTAAATTGATTGTTAGAAGGAATACACCGAAAAATACTATGACGTCCTTCTAACCCGTTTTCTGTGTGTCAGGAACAACCAATGATATGCCGAAATCGATCGAAAAGTCCCTGAAACAATTCATCATCACTCCTTAGCCTTCTTTGGCCATTTTGGTCCTTCATTTGTTACGGGATCGTCGACTTTCCAAATAAATATTAGTTCTCCACGAAAAAATCTGTCTTTTTTATCTATTATGCAAAAATTAACGTGCACAGCCAACTCGAAGAGGTTGAATTATAACAGAACCGAAAAACATCCAACAACTCGTGTCGTTCTACTTTCCAGTAAATTGGCTTAAGGAGCCCATTTTTCAAAGTTTTATCCACATATACTATCTAATAATCGGCATTGGCCTTAAAACAAGCAGAAAATAGACAGGATCTGAATTCAAACGGCAAATAATTCTTTTTTTTTTTTTTTTGTATCAACTTCATCCTTACTTCAAACGGTAAATAATTTTTTTTTGAGAATAAAAAAAAAAAACGACAAATAATTCGATGATTCCAAGATACCATGATCTGAATCTGCTCAGTGATTGGTCAAATCAATATTAAAATAATGAAAAGCAAAGAGATACTTTGCCAGAAATTTGGTGCCTGGAGGCCACAACCACGGCATATTTTATTATCCATAAAGAAATTATGTCATCTACATAGATAACTACTATGATAATGACACTATTTTTAACTTTTTTTGCAAAGCAATTTATTCTAGAAAAGATGTTTAAAACAGAATCGATTACGACTTGACAATGTACATCTAATTTAAAAACTTAATATATTATATTCTTTGAATTAATAATAGATCTTGATATCGAATGAAGACCTCTAATTCTCTATTAGTCCAAAAGTTATAAATTCATTAAAAGTGTGTTTGAGGTGATTTTTAAAAATATTTTTAAAATTTATAATTTTTTTTTTTAAAAAAATAATGTTTGAAACAATTTATTTAATTACTTTTAAATAAGTTAAAAATAATGTTATCACTTAAATAAATAAATAAGTAAAAGTTAAAAAAAATTATACTTCTTTAAAATCACTTATCTACAAAATATTTCACCATTATCACCACTACTGTGCGCCACCCTCCACCATCACAACCACCGCCACCACCCCACCACATTCGTCTTCACCATCGCCACCATTGTCATTATCCCACCATCATCATTGTCATCCATCACCAATTGAGATCACTGCTGCACCGGTGCCCACCACATACTTTTTTATAAAATATTTTTTATTTTAATTTTTTTTTAATATCTAAGCGGTGTTTTTTTAATGGTAGTATTTTTGAGAAATACTTATTCAAAAAATATTTTTTAAATTTTATAAGTCATCTCAAACACAACCTAAATATTCGAACTAAATGGCTAATTAGGTATAAGTATATATTATTGTTAGAATCGTGGTATCATTGTGTGAAAAGCTTTGGCTACAACGCAACGGGTGATGTTATGTTGCTTGACGTCTTAGACTTCCCTACCAGAAGAGTCACTCTCCGGTACACCAAGATAACGCAGGCTTAAAATAGTCCGTTTATGGGACAAACATTTAA